CTTAATTTTCACAAATAAAACAACACGAACATAACAACATGCGTGATGTCGGTAATTTCTCGCATAACCGGAGATCTCTCGCCGTCGATCGATAATCGAGACACAGCTCGCCGCACCGGTGCTTTGGCAAGAAGGAGAGGAAGAACGTAGGATCGTAGTATACGGATTTATATCGCATTATGTTCGAAGTAAACTAATATCGCGCAATCGACGTCGCAGGGGACAGAGTGGCCCAGTTTCGCGAGGCGTGCGTCATATTCCCTCGGTGAAAAAGCGTTCTCCGAGAGGGCAGATCCCATTTTCCACCTTGTCATCCGCGCGTCGCCTCTCGCACCCCTCCGGCTACGTGTCCCTGTCCCTCTCATTAGCGAGTCTGACCCTCGAGAAGTGGGGAAGGACGCCACGGTGAATTGCAACGCAAATGAGAGAGAAAGAGAGAGAAAGAGAAAGACCGCAGACGCGGCACCGAAGTCGCCAGCATGAAAGATGCAAGAACGCTAAATGAAAAGCGCCAACACCGATTACCGAGGATGTCACAGAGGGCCTAAAGCGAGCACCATGATTAAAGAGGCCGATCCTTCATCCCTCAAGTACAACGCGCGGTGTCTTGCGCTCTCCCGCTATACAATTTCGTCCTGTAACACGTTTGACCTCCTTCCGAGTTTAAGGGAAACTTCGCGCAGGAGCTTGCCTGGCTTTGCGCAGACAAAATTGGTTACGACTAAGTGGCCTACCAACTGTCGAACAGAGGAACTAGAAAGAATACTGTAGTATCCAAGTATCTCGTACGTTGGATCTTCGAGTCCAACTAAGGTTTAGATAGGTTTAACCCCGCCCGACCCTATATACATTTATCCATGAACCACTCGATGTACTAAGGTCCCTTTATACTATACGGATAGTGCCTATATTTTTTCCTTCGATAGCAAAATAACTTCTCTTCATGCAGTACAAATTACGTTATATAATATAACGAAAAAAAAAGAATTTCTCTTTCATCAATTTATTTAACAAGAGTAGCGAGGCTTCCAGATACTCCATCGTGAAAGAAATTGGGTCATTGGGAGACGCGAATATAAATCGTGCATAAATCAATTGACGAGAGAATCGAGTTAGCTAATGGAAAAGAATTCTCCGTGATATATCTTCCGATATATCAAAACAAACATTTCGGTCCGATTCCAGAACCCCAACGGAATAGAATGACAGAGAAATGTCATACGATACGTATTTGCCGATTATAGAGAAGCTTCGTAGTGTCTGAATATTTGCAGTTGCCTTCGTCATATGACTATTGTGCGCTCTTCAAGTAAAACCCTTCGACGACCTGAGTTCTATTTAGTTAGAAGACTACGTTTAGTAAGTTTTTCAGTCGTACACTCTGGACTTCCCAATGTTATCTTGCTCGTTACCTACAGGTTTTATCCTCTGTGTTCGTTCGTGTAGTGTAATACGTCTTAACGATTACAAAGGTTCCGCGCTCAGGATTTTCTTACGAGATCCCAATGGTAAGTCCGAATTTTGCATACTTTATGCATTTTGGTTGTCCCCTTCGTTAATCTTCTCCATTCTAACATTCTTTGCATTATGTCCGTGGATATAGATGGATTTTCTGTTTTGTTTATGCCCGTCTAAAGTATCTTATGCGCGGATTTGCCAAATACTGTGAGTTATGCTTTAGGAATTTCGGTGCCTATTTCTTCTCTCTTGACGAGAACCGCTGGACGTTGTTCTTTTATGTGTATCCTCCGACACGAGGAATATTTATCGAGATTTAATTCCGTAGCCTTATATGATAAGGTTTCCTTCTTATCTCATTTTTAATTTACAACAAGATGATTCAATATTAATAAACAATTTGTTCTTCAAGAGGAGTTTGCACATTTTCTTCTGCATCTTTTTTTTGTATTCACAGAGAGAACGATCTCTTTGAATTTAGTATTTCTATTTATGTGACTTGGGTTTGTTGGAATCAAACAACATAACTTTATACCAAATATAATTCGTAGATGACTTACTTTGTGAGCTCAATGCGAGAATGGAAATGTCAAGTTTCTTAAGAATATCACATAATTATATGAATCTTTTTAATAAAATAAGAAAATTAAGTGAGATAATTTTCTTTCTTGAACCAAACAATAAATCATTTGGGCTAAACAATAAAATTACTTGAAAAGCCAAACAATCATATTTGTTGAATCGAAAATTGGTTTATTTTGAATATTCTAATAGGTACATTTTTTTAAATTTAACGAAATTTATTAAATCTATAGAAACCGTTTTTTTTTGTGTTAAAGAGAGTTTATAATTTGGGTAAAACATTTGTTTTGAAAATTTTAATTAGAGAATCCTTGCCACTAATTAATTTCATTTTTTGTCAATTTATCTATGTACGTATATTTATGTTTTAGACTTTCACTGACACAATTTCATATTTGTTCTTATGGATAAATTTTTTATCTAGTTTGATTTAGACGAGTACTTACATTTCACATGAATCGCATAATTTTATCCAATGCTTTCAAATTTAATATGTATAGAATAAAAACATATTTTATCATAAATAAGTAATAATATTTATCATAAATATTGTAACAGACAACCAAAAGAACCGTCGATACTGACCTCAATAAATAAATTAGTCACGAAAGAAATTGTGTCAGTGAGAGTCTAAAACATAAATATACGTACATAGATAAATTGATAAAAAATGAAGTTAATTAGTGGCAAGGATTCTCTAATTAAAATTTTCAAAACAAATGTTTTACCCAAATTATAAACTCTCTTCAACACAAAAAAAAACGGTTTCTATAGATTTAATAAATTTCGTTAAATTTAAAAAAAATGTATCTATTAGAATATTCAAAATAAACCAATTTTCGATTCAACAAATATGATTGTTTGGCTTTTCAAGTAATTTTATTGTTTAGCCCAAATGATTTATTGTTTGGTTCAAGAAAGAAAATTATCTCACTTAATTTTCTTATTTTATTAAAAAGATTCATATAATTATGTGATATTCTTAAGAAACTTGACATTTCCATTCTCGCATTGAGTTTCTACTTGATGGTCCGTATATAAAGCAATCTCGATCGAGATACGAGCACATAAAAGCTCACGATAGCGATATCAATGAGCATGTGTTTCTCTACGACGAAGCGAATCATGGTAAGATTATTTATGGAATTCCAGAATTAATATATGTGTGCGCACGTAGTAGTGAGACCACGTTGACCGCGATAAATGGTTATTGTAGATCCTAACGACGATATTAATCAGAGGCTAGGTTAATTTGAATTTATTGTTTGATAAGAAAATACATGGAGCTGGGCTCAAGTGAAATCTCCGTATAGCCAAGATATAGAGTCCCAGTGTGAGATACGAGTGCTGATGTCGTATCTGGGCGAAGCGCAATATTGTGCAATACGATGTGCACGCAACACTACAAAACGACTGCCACGGTAGTATATGTGTACCAAAGGGAAGAGCAGAAAATCGCATCCTAACGGTGTGTATTCGTTTTATATCCCGTACACATTGTCGCCTAACGGTCGAATGAGTGTTTCTTTTTCTAATCAAAGAAGCCACCGCACCGTAAAATCGGTCTTGTGACGCTAGTTGGCGCATCGAATGCAGCAACGCTTTATTGCGCAACGTTGTGATAGATAATATGAACTGCTGGCTGTGCAGTGTATCAAATTAATGTGAAGCATCTCGTGTTTCTATTTATACGAAGATAATATTATTCACGTCGTATTTCCGCGAATTCTTATATGAAAAGTTTGTGTACGTCGCGAGGAGGACGTCGCGTGTTAAGTACATTATCACGCGGCGAGATCAGTATACATAACGGAAATGTTGCTTACGGTATAAATTTCGATGGGATTTGAAACTCCCTCGCTGATAGTCCAAGTTCATAACTATTTCTCGTTCACGGCAATGGCGGTTGAAAGATGGGCAACGCTATACAAATAGCTGTTCAAGTTTTAAACGGGCTTGCGGGAGCAAGTTTTTAATAGAAACGACTGCGCTTTCGTTGCCGCGCGATATAGTTGCGAGATATAATACGCGGAGAAAGAGCCTTCGCAAAAATATCCGCTATCACGTTGCGCAACGCTCTATTTGGCGGGCGTACTTAAAAGTTGTAATTACCTCCAGCTCATATAGCTTACTTTGGGCAAGTTATATTTTTCAATATTGGGTATCAAAGAAACAGGAATCAAGATATTTCGATTTTGTTGCTCCCCTTCCCCCCTTCATGCTAATAAATAAAAATGTAAATATTATTATAATCATAATAATATAACTCATAGTGTACTCAATGTGGGAATAATCAAATCCAAATGATTAATAACTGATCTTGTATAGTTGTTTTAGAGTGAGAAAACCGAATTTTTAGTTTTAAATTACTTTAATTTAATATTCTTGATATTGATTGAAATGCTAAACTTACTGAAATTCAGGATTTTGAGCAAATTTTATGCTTATGATAGATTTGCGGATATATAAACTTGTGAAATACTTAAAACAAGTAACATTTACTTGAATGCTATATATATTTTTCTATGTGTAGGTAGTTGTAACTTTATTGTTAAAATTGATAAGATTATAAAAAATTTAAATACTATAAAATAACGATACACTAAAAAAAAGTATTTGAAAATTTGTTTGTGTGTGTGTGAGATAAAAGTTCACTTCATGTATATATAGAAATTAAATTTATTTCACAGAAGCAAACTTTATATCTCACAAATAAATTTTCAAATATTTTTCTTTCAGTATAGATATAACACAGTGCACTGAGAAGAAATACTTAAAAATTTATTTATTGGATATAAAGTTTATCTTTGCGAAATAAACTTTATATATCGCAAATAAATAAATTCAAATATTTTTTTCCAGTGTACAAGCAATAATTCGACCTGAGAAAGCTTCCCAATGCTGAAACTTTATCCGATGCATAAATAATCCATCCCGCGGGAAAAGAAGTTGTCACTTACCGGGTTGTTCGTGAGCGCCGAGGTGGAGGCACCAGTAGGATGATGATCGTACTCCGGATAGTCGTCCCGGTAGTGCCTGTCAGTGACGTGTCCCTCTCTGATGTCCCTCCCGTCCCTGACGTCCCGAAGGTCTCTGAAATCCCTGAAGTCGCGGTTCCGAAGGTCACGGAGGTCTCGGGGCGTCTCGCAACGGATCACGTGGTCCCGTTCATCTCGAGGCTGCCTCGACATCGCCGTCGGCTCCTCCTCCTCTGAGTCGGGCAGCAGCTGCTCGACTCCACCGCCACCTCCGCCACCTCCAGCACCACCTCCGCGTCGGGCGGGATGACGCCGGAGGTCACACCATCCTACCTCCTCCTCCGCCCCACCGGCGATTTCGCCTCGGGGCAGCCGAGCCGTGCCTGGTGCCCTCACGACCGATCTGCCTCTAACCTCCTGCCCCCGCGGCCCCCCGGGGGGCTCCACCACATCACAATCAAAGGCTACCCCGCCCGGAGCTCTCACGACCCGACTCTTCCGCGTCCACCGCTCGTCCTCGACTTCGAGCTCTTCCTCGTTCTTGGACCGCTTGCGGTTCGCGGCTTGGCAGGTCCACGGATCAGCACCGTTAGTCTTGCAAGTACAGCGGGGAATGCCGCTGGCTTTGCGTGCCGCTCAAGGCGAGGGTAGTGCACGGGTAGCTTCGGGGAGATGCGACGCACGATTCGGATTCGACGCGGTTACCTGCAAGCTAACATAAAAATGGCAGGCTAGACTCGATGTGATGTTTTTTTCATTTTTGGGGAATGGTTTTTCATTTCTCGTGTCCGAATTGGATCTTTCGATCGACTGACCGCAGAACATTAAATCCGGCACGAGTAGAAATCGAGCAGAAACACTGCAGCAGATTCGGTGTACGGATAGCTGATAATTATTAATCCAATTGAGGAATGTTTCGTGAAAGTCATTTCAATACTCAGCTAGTTATACGAACACGTGCAATTATAATTAGATCGTTTGTGTTTTTTTAATAATAACGCAAATTGCATGTATACACATTATTGACACCAACGCAAACTGCACGTTCACCGTTGACCACGGATTCTTTAGCGTCCGTACATGTCAATGTATAATTATTTACGGCAAAATGGCATAACAAGGTGGGATAAAGCACGTTATATCTACCCGAGTGAGACGAATGTTTAACTAGCGCGATAGATTTTTCCGAGTATATCGCGTGTGAAATTACACGAGAATATGGTATGCGGATTTAATGGCGTCTTTATGCGCATTTCAACGGATAAACCGTCAATGACACTTTCCTCTTCTGACTTAAAACCCATTAGGGTGACATAAATAGTCGAATAAAACCGAGTCCCAAGTAACATAATGATTTCAATAAGGTTTCAATACAGCATCAGAATTGCACGTCATCATGATATTGCAAACGCAGTCAGTCATTTACTGCATTCCCCCTCTGCCCGCTCTCTTTCCCGCCTTCTCTCACGCCATTTGTGAAATTTTTAATTTTCAACTCGAAGAATGCGACAGATAAAAATCAGATAAAAATCCAAATCGATGCATTTATTATGAATAATAAGATTTCGAAGAATTTCTTCAATATTCGTGGAAAAATTAACGATATGTCGAATTCTTCTTGCCCATTAATGTTGAAAAATACTAATGAAGAAATTACATATGACTAATCACTAAGATAAAGGTACTAATGTCTGAACATTAATAACACTGGTACTTAACTCTGGACATTCTTATTGTTTTGATTTTTAAATATGAATATTTTAACTTTCTTAATATAAAAAAATATATATATATTCTACATTAAAAGAGTTTAAATACTCGTATTAAATACTCGTATTTAAGAGAAAAGTAAAACAATAAGATGTTCAGTGTTGGATACCAGTTTTATTAGTATTCAGGTATTGGTACTCTTACTCTGATTAGTAATATGTCGAGACTTTTCTCCATTAATGGGCGACATGTGCTGGATTCTGCACACCGTAATGAGTTATCGGTTTTTGGCGTTGTTTGCAGGCGCGAGGAAAGCCGCGAATTCACACGATGCTACAACGCTATAATCCTCACTTATCGTAAATTCAATTTTGCCGTTGCTACTGTGCATGGTATGGAAGGTAACTCGATTTTATCAGATTGAACAATTTCACGAACGCGACACGTGCTCTCTTGCTCGTATCGCAACATTACGCACTGCTCGCACCGATTGTCTCCTCGAAGTTTACCAAGAACTGTATTTTCATCGTACACGCGAAACTCTGTTTACATGGTAGCTCGCGACGCCGCGGGTTAGGGAAGGAAATATTGCTCGCGGCGTTTTACACTTATTCGAGCGAAATATTCGCACGCGTCGGTAATATAACTGTGCTATCACGTTATATAGCTGTGTTATCACGTTGACAGAGCTTAATTGTGCTGTTAAATGAAAATTATTGACATCAGTAGGTATCGACGGAGGGCAACGATATCTTCGTATCGTAGATGATATAAAACGATAACGCGATTTTAACAAGGACTTCTGAAAATCGGATGAGATATCGCGGCTGCCGATCGAAGAAGCGGTGCTTTGTTGTTAATATGGAAGCGCATCCTTGGGAACAGCGACAGTTTCCCGGGCGAATATTAAAGCGGACGTTCTCATAAACTCCTCGTACTCAGCGATACGGTATTATCATAGTGACGATCGTTGCAACGATAACGAGGTCGATCTGCGGCCGTCAAATCGTTTGTCGTTAATTAACGACACTATCATCGAAAGGCGTTGTCTCCAGGCTGTCGCTATACGCGAATGATTGATTTCTCACCAAGGTCAAATACGTATTTCGCCTAACGCGTACACGATGCTAACAATTTTCTCGATTGTTGCATTACTAACAGCTAAGTTACATCCAATTCATCCTTCTACACACTTTGAGTCACAATTTGGCAAAGGATAGGATAGGAGAAAAAAAGTTCAGGATTACCAGATTGCAATCGTTATTAAAAAAAGTTAGAGAAAAAAAGAAAAATTGCCAGGTACAAGCGAGTCGTCGCAATAAAATTCTGAAAATTATTGCCAGGTTTTCTCGACAATAAAAATACCGTTTAAAACACGATATTACGGGACGATAAATAAGACAAAACAACTGACGATGAGCAATTGGTGAATTTAGATGCGAGCATGAAGCCAAAGAGAAGAGGATCGTAAGATCCTGTCGTCCGTGGTTCTTGAAATAGGGAGGGTGGCGACGAAGCTCGCTTAAGGTGGGGTGAGATGAGGTTAGGTCACGCCGCAGACCGCGAATGTAGGGCTGTGGGTCGCGCCCGGTCGAGCTCAGCTGCGCCGCGACCCGAAGGGGTTGCGGCTTGCCTATGATCAGACACGGCGCGTTGTCCTCCGTCCGCTCTCTCCACTGCTACGCTGCGGAAACCGTACGCGTGTCAGTGGAAAGCGCCGGCAAATGGTCAGGCGAACGTCTGTCACGGCACAACGGGACACCTCAGGCAACCTCGGGGTGTCGCGCGACCGCTTTCCCACACCTGGACCAAATCCCGTAAGATAATCGTTCGCTCTCCGACGGTGACCTTGCTCCTTGCCATTCGAAAATCCCTACGCACTCCCGACGAATTTCGCCTCCCCTGTCTCTCGCAACGTATTCTTGAAACTTACGGGATTCTCTTTTCTGCCTGACAAGCCCAGCGTTCCCCAACGTTCTCCGCGAGACTGGAGCACACCACTCGGAGCTGTCACTTTCGCGCGTGGACGTCGTTTCGACGTTCGCGATCGAAACCCGGGCGAGATTCGCGAGGGTGAGAGATCCGCCACCGGTCACGGACGCGACTCACGAGCAGCCGGAGCAATTTTCGCGTGAAACGTTCGAGGCCGACGTAGTGGACACTACGTCGAAACGACGGTAAAGCTTGGGTCGTGCTCGCGTCGACGGGCTGCTGCTAACACGGCTCGTATCACCTCGGTCACCCTCGGTAGCCTACGGTCGCTACTTGCCTCGGCTTGGTTCGCGCACTGTGACGTCACGCGACAGACGAAAACCCCGGTCTGGGGTATCGATCGCGTGCGCTGGCGCAGCCGAGGGTGCGTTTCGCGCCGCGACGTTAGATCTGAGACAGACGCGAGACACGTGGCTCAGGTCCCAAAAGATGACAGTTTGGGACTCAGGCCTCGCAGGTCAGTGACTGGCTCGGATCGTGGGGATTCTTGAGAATCATAACTTGCGATGATTGTATTCTTAAGTCTTCTGCTCAGACGACCCATCACATGTAACACAAAGAATGCGACTACGACATAATATTTTTAGGAAATTCTAGAATTTCATGTCAAAGCGACAATTTCATGTCAGGTGCGTCAAATTTTCTACCTCACAATATGGTGAAAGACGTTCAACAATATTAAATATGCACGTCACATTTGTCATATCGAAATAGTCGTTCACCGATGCTTCGTTAAAATGGCAACATTCTTTGTCTTTCAAAAGTGATTACAAATAATGTAACAGAAGCATCGGGATTTATTCGTAATTGGAACGTTTAAAAATCTGAAATAACAAACGTTCATCGTATGATCGGCGATAGACAGTTAGAGCGTTTCATTCTTAAAATATGCACGCATTGTCGTGTGTACCTGTCGATATTCCGATACTTGAATATTCAAATATGAAATTCGATGTAACGTCGGCTAACGCTGTTACAGCGGCAAAACCGATTTTATTAATTCATTAATTTTTCGTTTCCGATGGATTTTGGCACACAGCTTAAAAAATCGAGATGGATAATAAATTCAACTGAGCGATATTTAACAGCGACATTAAGCTTGAGTGACATTTCATGAATGTGTCATTACGTCACATTGTGATTCTCCGGTTGACTGAAATTAGGAAAGGAACGATCAAAAGAATTAATCAATTATCAGTTAGATGATAATATACGTGTACTCATTATCATTATTAACGCAATTTTATTCAGAAAGTGAGTATTGAATTCGTGGCTTCGTTTTTCCTGAAACTATCACACGTCGATAATTCTTCGCTCCTTTCATTCTGTGAAGCTCCACAGTATTATCACGTCTCTCACGATGCTTTATAAACTGCATCGTATTTCTATTTCTAGGTATTTCTAAAAGCAAATAAAAGAGATAGATCTCTCTTATGGAATATTAATTTTATATATATATATATATATATATATATAATTATATATTTTTTTATTTTTAATGTTATCTAACGTGATAAATATTTAATTTAACAATAAAAATCTACCATTATATTCTTGATATTTTACTGGTTAATTTTTAGTCTTTTGCTATTTTCAATGCGCGACATATTTGCTTATCTCTAAAGACGCAGTGGAAAATAATCATATATACTAATAAAAGATAGGAAAATAACTTTTAAGAAAAATAACTTGAACACATTAAGCTAATTACATTCTAATTATTAGATAAAAGAAACATTATAACTATTATTAAATATGTGTACTGGACATTTCTATCGTTTACAGAACAATTTCGAAATTTAGGACAAGCTTGACGTTAATTTATCAATAAATTAATAAATAAATGCCATCTGAACAATTAAGAAGCAATAAGCTTATTATGAATTATAACGTCATTATGATATAGTAATTCTAAGTAAATTATAAAATTTTTCGGGACTTACAATTATACGTACAATACAGAATACATTTATCCGGATCGACGTACAGAGAGAACAAAAATATTACGCAACTGTCACAAAAAAACATAATGCGAATGAGAGAATAAAAAAAGTATGGGTATAATTTGATATACAATTATTTTCTCCTACAGAGAGATAAGTGTCATCTAACGCGCGTAGTAAGCCAAAGAAGACCGGTCTTGCTCACTAAAGGATTGCGCGGTTCACTGAAGCAGTTTCGGTTTTGCAACCCTTCATGCGGCTTCGCGAACGCCGACATCTACCGGAGGGTAAAGGAAGCGAGACGAAAGAAGGAGTTAGCGAAAGTGCAATGAGCACGGCACTTTCCGCATGGACTTGCTCCACCTTCGGCGCGCAACTTTTCCCACGCTGCCCCTTTACCGACCTTCAGCGGTAACGCCGATACTTGAAGATGCCCTGGCTTGGTCACCACCTTCTGATAAGGACGCAGTTGTCCCTGGGTGTGTCTTCAATATAGACTATCGATCGCGTGACATCATTAGGGGTAGCAAGAGGACGGCCAGCTCAGTGCATACCGCGCGGTGCTGCATGCTGGTGGCTGCACTCAGAAAGTACATTTTGCAAGACGTCAAAGAGATAAGAAAGATAACTGTTATTATAAAATAGATCATAATCTCTGTACGTATCTTTTCGAGATTGAGGATATCGAGGATTGGGGATATTATTTTTATAAGTTAACGAGGAGTAGGCAGAATGTCGGATATGGCGATTAGTTTATCATTAAAATAATAAATACATGAGAAGAATTAGAAGGAAAATTGTATTTATAATGACGTGTAGTCTACAGCCTTACAACATGCATTAATAACCGATAAGTGGCACGACTTAATAGAAATTTAATGTCCGTAATTATATATATTCGGTATCCATATTATAATTAAAAGTATTATTTGTCGTACTTCCTAATCTTCATTTAACAAAGCTATTAAGCTTTGTGCAACATTAGAGATCGTATTACACATCAAGTGAATCATATGATTAATATATTCCCGGAAAATACCGTTATACAATGGAAAATACATTCGGAAACAATTAAATAATGTTATGTTCCACGTCGGAAGCGGAGAGTTGCTTGTAGCGTCGTCTCCAGAAGTATTCGATGTTATTTATTAATGTTCGACGAAAATGTTCGTAAAACTTTTACTATCGCCCTAAATGAAAAATATCCTTGCGGAAAAGTCGTAAGAAATAATGCATATGTTTGCCGATAGCGTGAAAATATGATCTCATTTCAAGAATTCGATTGTTAATTATGAGAGGATATTCTCGTAGTAATATCGATTACTTTCTATTCCGAAACTATGACACTAAAGACATCTTTGGAGGCTACGTATTTTCAGCGTCTTACAAAGATAGCACCGTGGTTAAATATCCAAGATCTTCCTGATGGAGGCTTTAGCCGTTCCGAGAATAAAAGCAACTTCATATTGTCATGAAAGATTTACAAGGCTAACACCGTTAAATTTAGCCAATAATCAATTTTATTAATTACATATATAGGCAGAAAGATGAGAAGGGAATGTTGAAATATGACGTTTTCACAAATTGATTTTTTGTCAAATCACAGCCTATCCACCTATACCCACATCCTGATCTATTCGGCAACGTTCGCGAGCCGTTGCTGCGGAAATGATCTCAGCTCGGAAGACGCTTCCTCACACAAGTAGAAACATCCTGTCTGGTTAGGCCGCCGACATCGCCGGCTTCCGCGGAGCTCAAACGCTCAGGCCGAAAATCATTCTCGCGCTAAAACCTCACACACCGGAAGACGTAAAGCATCCTCACGCGCCTCGCCTCAGCGACGTATCCGTCATCATCCCCGCAGCTACGTCGTAAAGTGGTAACGTCTCCGTCTCTGCCCCTCTCGCGCCTATTCTCCAGTCTCAGCGGGCACAAGGGGCAATGCTACCGCGCGCGCGAGCGAGTAGCGCGCAGTGGGGAGACAGCGGTGTACTACCCGTGGTGGAGAACGCGTCCTGGTGGTGGTGGGAGAGTGTCTGCGCGCTATAAAGAGTCACTGTACCAACTGAGAACTGAGTGGGGGATCCACCGCCAGCTGGTACAGGGCCACCGTCGTGTACGTACGTGCGCGTAGTGGGGAACCCGCGAGAGCGAGCGAGATAACGCGAGAACGACAAGGAGGCAGATGCGCGGCGTAGAGGGAGCGAGCGATCGCCGAAAGCGTAAAGCGGACCATAATTCGGTGCGCCGCCCCGCAATCAGGTTCGTGATCGTGCTATCCAGCCGCCTCGCTCGTCGTCATCCGGGAGAGAGAGACGGTCGTGTGTGTGCACGCTTTTACTCACGTAGTTACTCGCTCGGTGCTCGTTCAACAACTCTCGCTACGTGCTACGCGGGAGCGGCGTGCGCGTACTCCGCGATTCATTGATCTTACACGCGCTGGGTTTGAGCGCTGCTTCGATATTCGTATATCGCGCCCCGAAGTAACGCGACAGGACAGTGTCGCCGCGCGAAAGAGGACTCTCGGTAGAACAGTGGTGTGCCGTGACGCAGGAACGGAGCGACGCAAGAAAGAGAGAGAATGACGAGAAGCGCGATGCCACACCGGTAGCTGCTGTACGGTCAAGTCCTTCGGTTACTCTCATTGTTCAGTTGTCCAGACGGTCTGTTTGGTTGCGCACAAACTCGTGGGATCCTGATTTGATCGTTCCGGCCGTTACTCACGTGTCATCCAGGACGAAGAGGCTGTTACTCATTATTTTCAACGGCTAGTGCGATTAAGAGAGAAGACCCGAAAGAGAGAAAGAGCGAAGGTAATTTCACAGACTACGTGCGCGGCAGATCAAACGCGCGGCCAGTGAATGCATTGTCGTGTTGCTTCCATTTTATAATGATCTCTAATCCTTTTTGGTTGGTGCTGCTGAATGTGCGCTTTATTTGTTGGCGCTTGATTTGGTGTGAAAACGAGCAGTCTTCTCGTAACCATCGCTCAGTGTCGAGATCGTGTAGCATCGTCTTCCTTCTCTTCGTCGCCGTCGTCGTCACGTAAATATGAAACCCATCCACACAGGCCCATAAATGTACACAGACGCGCGTGCGAGCGCGCGCGCACACGCGTGTATACACACACGCGCTCACATATATATCGCACGCATCACACGCATATACGCGCGCGTGTGTGTGTATCTATAAATGCGTACTCGCGCGCTCCAAGAGACGATGATGCGTGCACGTGCACGGCCGTGAACACACAGGATCAAGCTCCCATACACACGGTTCTGATTATTAACGAGTTATTACCGCGATACTAATTAAGTTTAATCGCAAGGCCGCCCGTTCGTTAAAGTTAATTGCACGATCGACCACGGCCCACGCCGTTAATTGCGCCGTCCTGCTCGCTGCTCGACGCGCGCGCTTTTACAGAGCCTACGTGTGCGCTCAGTGCGCGATGCGCGCGCGAAACGACACGATTCCTCGCAAAAAAGTTCTCTCGAGTTCGCTGGGAACTTCCGTTGCGCGCAATTGAATCCGCGAGATGTGCCGCGCACGTACGAATAATCAGTTTATTTGAGATTCACGGCGTCGAGCTCACACGGACAACGCTAGACGTGACAACGTTCGGATAAACACGTAAGACTTAAGGGAAAGTCAAAGTGGAAGTGACGTATATACTTCACAAATGTCAATAAAGCATACGATAATACAGAGGCTATTGTCAAAACGCTAATACAAACGCGCTAATCTTTTTATATTTCTTCTTTTATATAGATCTTACATAAATATGTGCGGTCTCGTTTTATTATATCTAACAGAAAACCTAACCATGCATATATACAGAAATTTTCCTACAAACTTTTACTATAATTCTAAGTTTTTATATTTTATAGTTGTGAATTTTATAACAATATTTTCTTTGAAAAAATTTGTTTGAATCGGAGCAAATATACGTTCGATATATGCAAGCTGCAGCACTTTTGCATTAAACTCGAAATGTGAATTTTGAAAATTTTTATCGTTTCCTTTACATATTGAGCTATTGCTTCAGTTTATTATTGCACGTACTTTCAGTGTTTAAAGGCGTTTGTAATTCTATGCAATCAATACAATGTATTTATAACAATATTTTCTTTGAAAAAATTTGTTTGAATCGGAGCAAATATACGTTCGATATATGCAAGCTGCAGTACTTTTGCATTAAACTCGAAATGTGAATTTTGAAAATTTTTATCGTTTCCTTTACATATTGAGCTATTGCTTCAGTTTATTATTGCACGTACTTTCAGTGTTTAAAGGCGTTTGTAATTCTATGCAATCAATACAATGTATTTATAACAATATTTTCTTTGAAAAAATTTGTTTGAATCGGAGCAAATATACGTTCGATATATGCAAGCTGCAGTACTTTTGCATTAAACTCGAAATGTGAATTTTGAAAATTTTTATCGTTTCCTTTACATATTGAGCTATTGCTTCAGTTTATTATTGCACGTACTTTCAGTGTTTAAAGGCGTTTGTAATTCTATGCAATCAATACAATGTATTTATAACAATATTTTCTTTGAAAAAATTTGTTTGAATCGGAGCAAATATACGTTCGATATATGCAAGCTGCAGTACTTTTGCATTAAACTCGAAATGTGAATTTTGAAAATTTTTATCGTTTCCTTTACATATTGAGCTATTGCTTCAGTTTATTATTGCACGTACTTTCAGTGTTTAAAGGCGTTTGTAATTCTATGCAATCAATACAATGTATTTATAACAATATTTTCTTTGAAAAAATTTGTTTGAATCGGAGCAAATATACGTTTGATATATGCAAGCTGCAGTACTTTTGCATTAAACTCGAAATGTGAATTTTGAAAATTTTTATCGTTTCCTTTACATATTGAACTATTGCTTCAGTTTATTATTGCACGTACTTTTAGTGTTTAAAGGCGTTTGTAATTCTGTGCAATCAATACAATGTATTTATAACAATATTTTCTTTGAAAAAATTTGTTTGAATCGGAGCAAATATACGTTCGATATATGCAAGCTGTAGAACTTTTGCATTAAACTCGAAATGTGAATTTTGAAAATTTTTATCGTTTCCTTTACATATTGAACTATTGCTTCAGTTTATTATTGCACGTACTTTCAGTGTTTAAAGGCGTTTGTAATTCTGTGCAATCAATACAATGTAAAAAACTTGCAAAAAAAAGTCAGTGTTTTGGTCAGTAAAGTTTTCAAGTGTGGTATTCCCTTAAGACATAATAGTGCAAAATTCCGTAAAAGTGAGATTGTCACGTCCGACTTGTCATGAGCTTGTCGTTTGCTTGTCGTTTGCTTCAATTATTTGAGACAGTATGAGTCGACACCTTATGTTGATTGAAACAATGTGAATGTGGACATTATTAATATAAAAATAATTAATTAATTATTAAATAAATAATTAATTTAACATCAAAAAATAAGAACAACAAAAAGACTTTTTTTATTTTAATGTTTGATCGATTAATTTACGTAAATGAATAGAAGTTAGTCCTCATGTGACTCATAATTAGGGGACTTTTATCTTAATCTCAGATTATAGATACTGAGTTGCTGAAGTTGTTTTTGGAGGGATCTCGACATCTATAAAGTTTTCTATAAATGAATTATTCTCAAAGGCCTTTGTTGCAAATACCAGTTCGAAATCGAAAGTCTAGCATCTGGCAATGATTCAACATTGAAACGACCGGAAAATACATAGATATTACATATAATCGTTTAGTAGAAAGCAATAGTACGAGTTTTACTTAATTAAACTATTTTCAATACGAGTTAACCGCGAAAGATTGCGTCGCGACATGCTTCCTGTCTTCTTCATAGGCGCTTTCGCGAGAATTTCCCAGTGTAATTGGATGATGTGTCATAAAACACGTGGCGCTTTGTTTATCGTGTTCCTTAATATTTGGAATAATTAATCGCTAAGAATATTTATAGTGTTATTTAATATTAGGAAATTAGTAATCGGCAAAGTTTTTCTACCTACGAAATGCTCTGCTTTTGACAGTACGCAATAACATTTATGTGAATTGTCTACACTGAGAAAAAAGCGGTTAGATTGACAAAATCGGTCACCAGTCATCAAAGAAACATTGGATCAATTCAACAAAATTCAATGTTAATGCAACAATAAATTGCGTTGATATAGTGATTTCAACGCAACTTATTGTTGCATTAACATTGAATTTTGTTGAATTGATCCAATGTTTCTTTAATGGCCGATGACCGCTGATTTTGTCAATTCAACCGCTTTTTTCTCAGTGTAGTTTCATTGGAATTCGACTTATATATATATATATATATATATATATATATATCTTATTTATTTATTTATTTATTTATTTATATTTATATATATTTATATCATTTAGATAATTGATATTCAAGGTTTTTTTTATGTGTTGTGAGAGAGAGAGAAAAAATAGCGTCCTGAATTATAAAATACTTCTAAAAGTTGCTGAGAGAACCATTGATATTTATTTACTCGTATAGTATAAAATGATCGCAGAAACGTCAAATGTTTCGTTGCTAGATTGGAATATTGCAAATACGCCTGCTATATATTACGTTGCTATACATTTGGAATATATTATTGCATTGTAATGTATTTATGTATTCGCGCAAAACGTTATCGTTGTATTACTTCAATCTTGATGGATTTTTGCTATTCAGAAACAGACACGTTATTATTGTGGCTTTGATAATGTCTATCTGTGTTGGTGACCGATGATGATAAGTCGTCTACTGAATAACTACAACGACAACATGCTGCAAATGTTGCAATTTTTTTTCATTTCCGATCTGTCATCGTAATTTTATGCTAACCTGGTTATGCGTCCAATCAGTTTTTACACAAAACATATTGTACACACACACAAATTTTGTTTATACACACAAAAATTTATAAAATTTATAATAATTTATAAAAATTTATAAAAATACTAATATATAAATATATATACATATGTATGCATATCATTAATTACTTAGTCATTCACTTCAACTTTTAAATTTTATCGTCGAACACTTTTCTTGACTCTGCTATTTTACCATCTGTACTATTCGAAAACTCGGGAAATAGTGAGTAGTATACGTGTTACGAACGAAGAAATAAAGAGAACGAAGAAAACGTGTGAAGTGGGAATAAAGGAAAAGCCTCTAAATTTCATTGGAGATATTACTGAAGAGTAGAGAGATATTATTGGAGAATAGGAAGATATTACTAGAGAGTAGGGAGAGCTATACTGTCATCTACAATATATCGCAAATGAATAATATTAGATCTATGAATATGATCGATATAGTTGACTTAATATTTAGAGGAAATATAAGGCGAGTTTTTTAATTCATCGATGGCTCCATCGCATGATGCGTAAATACAGCGAAACATTGCATTTGCGCATCATGCGATGGATCCATCAATGAATTAAAAAACTCGACCATAGTTGAATGTATGCGATCTAAATATGAGAATATTATAAGAGAGTTAACTGTGACGAATTTCAAATATTTTAAAGGATTTTTAGGGTAATTGTAAAGTGAGGGCACCACTTCAAAGAATTTCAATACTGTGTACAATATGTTTTGTGTGTATAAATGTATTATATCACAATATGTGACATAGTAGATGGCAGTATAGTCTATTCAAGCTCTGCCTACTCTTCAGTAATCTCCAATAAAATTGAAGGCATCTTACTTTTGAAGCTGTCCACGCACACTTTCTGTACAGTAATTATAAGACACATAAGAATTGACCAATCATGTTGAGAATCGTCGAATTATA